AATAATAATATATCTGTTCATGCTTTTCCCATTCTCTCCGCTATAAGTTGATGACATATCACACTGCATCGCTGATGTGACAGTAACTTCAGAATTAGATAAATCAGTCATGGATGCTCGATAACGGGCTTGCTGTTTCATCATGCTTACAGGTGTGATTAGAGTTCATCCAGTACCAGAAGCTGACGGTACATGTAGGACTTGCAGGCTTCAGCTGACGACCGGTGAGAGTGATAAGCGACCAGTGTGTAGAGGCTGCTGGTTCTACTGTCATATACCAACCTACACCAAATTCACATAACATGAGTCTGATGGCCAGATTGTTTTGTTCTTCTATTACAAACGGAAACAAATAAATACGCTTTTATTAAAACGAAGATTCACTCAAATTCAGTAATTCACCCTTAACATTAAGACTTCGTGATACTATAGAACAGTACTATAATACCATGCTATAATATCTACTAATAATGATAACGCAATGTGGACGCAAAAGCACCTAGAAGAACTAGGCCTTGTATATTCGATTGCATCACAATATCTTGGCAGCTTAGTAAGTTTTTTACGGACGTGCCAAGAAACCGATTGACGGCCGTTGGTAGGCGTGTTGGTTCCCAGCGTGTACAAACCATTTATCGTTCCTAGCGTGTGGTCGACGGGCGGACCCTTATCTGTGCTGATGTCGCCTCCATCTTTGTCTCTGACCCACTGTAGTGTATACGTACTTGTCGATGTCCAGCTACAGCTGTCTCGTTCGAAATTGCACTGACCTGAAATCAAAAAGTAATTTAAAAATAAAATGAAAGGAAGTAGCGCTGGTAAAGTTAGTCGTCCGATATTTGAACCTCAGCTCATATTCATTTACATTTTGCAATCGTTATTGTATCCCACTGATCATCATTACTCATGTATTTTACAGTAAATATATAGTAAACCTGTACGCAACTACAAACATTCATACGTTATCTGTAAGAAAATTCACGCCTTAGTAGTTTATTGATAATTTTGTGTCTTGCCTGACTCTGACGTTGGCGATACATTGTAAGGAACTTACTTATTTATGATTTCCGATAATAATACCAGGAGGCAACGAAGGCATCTAAAACAAGACAGTGGCGGAGAACTAGATGTATAGATTATAAGGGTGATAAATACCGCAGTTTGATTCATCTGCTCCATTAGGACAGTCCTCTATGAAGTCGCACACTTTCTCGGAAGGAATTGTCAATCTAGCTTGATTGTTACAATTAAAAGTCACCTGTCCCGTACCTGCGAAAATATGAAAACTTTGTTACGGCTACTTGAAAATAAGCGATACGCTACTAAGTAATGAAGGCGTTACAAATAATAAATCGACAATAAGAAATATATGCTGAATAAATAAATAAATAAATATTGAGCCACCGGGGGCCTAGGGGCCCGCTGGCGCAATAATACACTGTGCAAGTGATGCAATCTACTTTTCTTTGCTGGAGGCGCCATGGAGGAGTGGACCAAGGCTTACCACACACTACTATATAGGAGGCATTATGCCCCCTTCATACACAATACTGTATATGTGGCCTTGGTGGGCCACCAGCATACACTATACTACAATACTATATAGATGGCATTAGGCTACCGTCATATACAATACTATATATGTGGCCTTGGGCACCCATCATAAACTATTCTATTATTACAATACTATATAGGTGGCCTTAGACCCCCGCCATACAAATACTATATATGTGGCCTTGGGCCCCCATCACACACTATTATTACAATTCTATATAGGTGGCCTTAGGCCGCTGTCATACAAATACTATATATGTGGCCTTGGGCCCCCATCATACACTATTATTACAATTCTATATAGGTGGCCTTGCTTAGGCCCCCGTCATACAAATACTATATATGTGGCCTTGGGCCCCCATCATACACTATTATATTATTACAATACTATATAGGTGGCCATAGGCCCTCGTCATACAAATCTAATACATAATTGTGGAAGATTCTCTGTTTGTCTGTTACAGACGGGCCACTCTAGATATGTCCAAGGATGGCCATTCGATGTAACTTTTGATGTTGAATGCTATACATGGGCAGATTGGATTTGACCTCAGAGGTCATCTGACATTGCAAAAGGAAAAAAATGATGCGAAAATCATGCCCCTGAAGCAGCGTTAAGTCAACGCACCCCTGCCGCAGCGGAAAATAATATTTACTTTGTACTGACCCGCATTACTGTACAATGCGCGTCATATTGCGTTACTATTCATACATTATGTTCCACGCGCTATGTCTTTGTCATAACAACATTCACTATGCACTGACTTTATGCAGAGTGTGCACGACTTTTTTCGATAGGTTCGAGAATATTCGATAAAATGCAGGGCGATTAATTGATCG